GAACTTACTGAAGCCGTCAAAAATAATGTACCAATTAAATCATTTGGCCAATTCGATTTTAAGGGGATGGAAAGTTTAGAAGCAGTCGTGCATCATTCCACAGTTTATGCATTGATCATAATAATAGTTGTAATTGCATTGGTTGCAGTCGGTTACTGTCGTGTTAGGAAAATAGTTTGCTGGTCTTCGCCAATCGTGCGATCAAATATCATTCAAGGAGCAGGTCCAGAAGTTTCGGAGTCACATAATCGGCCTTCGCCTTCGGATGGGAGTCCACGGCCTTCTGTGAGTCGACGACTCGCATTTCCTTTGTGGAGTATGGCAGCGCCTCGGGAAAGTGAAGAGCAGGTTTAGTACAACGCATCAGGTACAGATAAATAGTAGAACACAGGGTTAGACTGGCAACACAGGTTACGGTGTGAGTACAGGGTACAGTGTGAGTGTAGTTGGGAGTTATGGCTATCATTTACGAAGTGTGCAGTAGGTGTTTGACAAGTGGTTTGAGGTGCATGCAGGTGTTAAGGTTGAGTGGTGTAAATAGTGTAATATAGTGTGCATACATAAGTGCAGTCTGCTATTTATTATTAATCATATCGTGATTAAATATTGCTTGTAGCATTAAAGGTTCTAGTATCGGAGACCATGTTATAGTAATACAATGTTAGGTATAAATGTAGGGGAATATTTGTGGGGTAGGAGTAAAAGGGATTAGGATGTTAACGGGAGAGGATGGACATGTTATGATGATAAAAAGATGTTGTTTCAGTTAATTAATCTGGCTTGGTAAGGATTTTGAAGTGTGGGTATTATACAGATGACCGAGGTTTTGGTTTATGTGTGGCCACACATACATTAAAGGCATGGTCATGAGTCATATCAGTTAGGAGAGAGCTACTGTTAGGGTTTTCTATAATTGTTGCAGTTACAGTGACATGCAGAGAGGAGCGTGCATTAGAAGATTTCCCCGCGGAACAGATTTTAGCGGGACATCGATGGACACATCTTTCGGCAGGACATCGATGCGGCAGTCAGCACAACATTTTGGCGAGGAGGAGAAAAACTACCTTAATCATCACTTCAGTGACTTCACTACTCATGCGACGACTTCAGCGACGCAATACTTCAGCGAGAATTTAACAGGCAAATTCAGCAAAGTCAACGACCTTCAAATTTGTGAGAACAATATCTGTGAGCACGAAGACAAATGTGCTAGCAGAGTATCAGTGCTGGGGAACTTTTGGTATAAACCATTGGCCATTATAGAAGAAAACTAAATGCCACAGCACAATCAATCAATCATTGCATCATCATCAGAAGCAGCGCAGAAGATCAACATCAAAACAGAAGAACAGCTGGAGGACATTGTAACATCGTCAAGGGATCAAGAATATTGTATTGTAGTGTATTTTATATTGTATTGTATTTATTTCATTGTGTTATTTGTATGCATTGTAATCTTTTTGTATTTTAGGATATTGTATTGTATTGTAGTTAGTTTCTGGTATTAATTATTATGCTTGTATTGTTTTGTATTTCAGGTTATGCATGATATGGTATTTTATTGAGTTGTTGCGATTTTTTTCTCTTTTCAGGGTTTCAAGAAATTTGTCTTGTTTGAACAGATGGTTTTACTTGGCAATTCGTGTCAAGTATTGAAATTATATAAGAGTGGTCAGTGAGATTTGTCGGTGGGCAGTGTAAGCCATAGGTATTGTACTAATTGTGGTCAATGCGAAGTCTTGTAAACATTGTTGTTGTTGTTGTTGTTGTTGTTGTTATGTGGGGAAGGGGATGTGTTTAGTAAAAGGGTTATTTTATTAGTATGGTCGACGGTGTGTAGCTAGATTTGGCTGAAATTAGCCTGGGTTGGATTAGGTGCAGTGTTTAGAATGTAGGTTATGAATAGTACGTTGCGTGTGTGATGTAGACGTGTGTTAGTTTAGGAATATTAGTCTAGACGGGTGCAGATCGGGTTTTAGACATGTGGGTATGGCGGGAGTTTTGGAAGGACAAAAAGGTAGTTGTGTGTAATTGGTTAGGAAGAGTTTGGACTTGTTTGTGATTGGTGGAGAGTTGGCATATAAATAGACATTTGAAGAGAGATCGGGAGTGGGAGTCTGGCATTCGATTAGCGTGCACCGTGTAGAGAACCTGTATTAGTTGTAAACAATATATTATTTTAGTGAACACAAAATTTATACCTCGTCTTTGATTATTTTACTGAAATCTTGGTGTAACTTCTACGCTACATTGCATTGTTGTCTTATCTTGTTCTCTGTAACTTGTTCTCTGTGTCTTGTTGCTTGTATCTTGTTGCATTGTTGCCTGTATCTTGTTGCATTGTTGCCTTATCTTGTTCTCTGTATCTTGTTGCCTGTATCTTGTTGGATTGTTGCCGTATCTTGTTTTCAGTATCTTGTTGTCTGTGTCTTGTTGCTTGTTTCTTGTTGATTTGTTGCTATGTATTTTGGTTTCTCTAACTATAACAGTTATAGTTAGATCGATACGATAGAGTTAACTTAAACTCTATCGTATCGATTGCGTTTAAAACCAAATCAGTGACAACAACAAAGCACAATCACGTGATTGAGCTGAACGACGGTATTAAACGCAACTGTATTCATTATTAATTATAAGACACGCTTGCATGTTACCTCCAAGTAAATGAGTGCTAGATGATACTAACTGGTAACGATCAATGAATGAATCAATATTAATAATTTAGTGCCGTATATTAGCAAATCGGCAATCTGTGATAACGATTCACTTTCCGTTCACCACTACGACTTATTTCTCCTTAAAATGATGAGCATATCTCACATTCAATAGGAAATAAATAAATGAGAATAAATAAGAATATGTCATGTTCGTGCATAAGGTATTAGAGTGTACGTGTGTGTGCGCGCTCTTTTGTCGTGTAGTCAAGGTAATCCAATTCCACCAAACAGCTTACATGTGTACAAGGCTACTTGCGGTAACTGGTCAGGGCAATGCGTACGGAATAATTTACAAAGATATCTATCGGTCGGTTAAATCCATTATCCGCTTTGGTATTCTTCTATTTCGCAAATAGACATTCAAAATCACAATTCTACTTAGAGCGCTACCACATACGCATGATCACACACATACACACATACACACACACACACACACACACACACACACACACACACAGACACACACAGAGAGAAAGAGAAAGAGATACAAGGAGCGAGATGGCAAACCAGGGCTATACGCAAGACTACCGCCGATGCCTACATAAGATATGCACGCATGATCACACACACACACACACACACACACACACACACACACACACACACACACACACACACACACACA